GAGGCGGCCGCGGGCAGCCGTCGTCCCCCGGCGGGACGATGACCCAGCGCCGGGAGCCGCGTCCCCCCGCGCCGCTGGACGAGGAGCTGGAGGCGCTCGGGTAAGCGGCGCTCGGGGCGGCGCCGGCTGAGGGGCGCGGGGGTCCCCGCGCGAAATGGCGGCCCTGGGGTGGTGCCGGGCCACCCGACGGGAGCTGGCAGGGTGGGAGCTGCTGGTTCTTGCTGCTGCATGTGGTAATGAAGCGGGCAATAACGTAAAGCGGAGTTTGTTCTAACGAGCCCGCCGAAGGGCTCCGTGCGTGGCGTGCAGCGCCTCAGAGGAGTCCAGCGCCTCGTCCCTCTGGCGGGTTTGAGAGGGCGGCAGGCTCCCGTGTACAGAGAATACTGGCGTGCCGCAGGTGAGTGGGAGAAATAAATAATAGTTAGAAAAACTAGAGCGCAGGCAAGCCTTTCAAATATAGCGGGGAGTTAGAGGCAGGCAGGTGGCTACAGCTTCCCTCAGAGAATCTCTGCGGTGTTGAAACCTCCTCCGTCGGGAAGAGTCCCGGTTGCGCAGTGTCGCTTACCGGCACCTCAGGGGATCACCAAGCCCAGAGCTTGTCCTCAGAGCTGCCTGTCCTCCCTGGCTGCAGAGCTGCGCCGTCCCTTCGGCCATCTCCTCGTAGCTTGGCCTGGGCCCTGGCCCAGAGGGCTGCCATCCCAGCTGCCATGCCAGCCTCTCCTTGCCGGGCCCTGGGAGGCAGCAGGCTTCCCCGGGGTGCCTCGGGCTTCGGGAGCAGCGGGCAGTTCGCAGCCATTAGGAGGACCGTCGCCCTCACTCAAAAGCAAAACAAACCCAAGGAGCATAAAGGAAAGCCAAAGCTTGCAACAGACTTCACTCTCTGTCAAGTGTGACTCGCCCATTTTGACTGTCAGTCAGTTTTGCGTTTTGCGGGAGGAAGGCTTGGGTTACTTTTTCCACAGGCAGCATGGCTGTGTGTGACAAGAAACGCGGGCTGGAGGAGCAGCACAGGTGGGCACAGGGAGGCCAGGGTGGGAAAGGTCAGTGGCAGCAAAGCGAAGGGGGGACAAAGCAGAAGAAAGGCCAGTGAAGATACTGGAAAAGCAAAAAGGCTCTGATGTCACTTCTGCATTCAAAAATAATAGATGAAAAAAGTAGGTTTTTTGCTTCCTGGGTACTTATAGATAAGCACCAAATCATGAGGGGTTTTTTTGCGATTAATTCACTTAGTGAAGAAATTGGAGGGCAGCAAAGAGACTTGGAATTCGTATCTCCACACTGCTGATATTTTCCCATGTTAATTAAGTGCCTGTTACTGAAGCATCTAACAAATACGAAGTGAAGTCACTTTGTAATGGTACCCACAGTGGCCATTACATACTTTTCCTTTACATCTGTAAGATTACGCTCATCCTAAAAACGTATCTACAGGGGGGAGGGGAGTGAGAAGAAAGAAGAAAAAAAAAAGAAAAAGAATTGCAGCTGCTGTGGGAAGCATGATTCCCAATTGCCAGACTTTTAATCATTTAGACTATATGGCCTGAGTTGATTTATGCCAGTAACCTGTGCTTATAAACAGCCTTGCTGATTGGCAAGGAGTTAGTCCTCACAGATGATCTTGAAGGACTGCAGCTCGATGTGGTACCAGTGAGAAGGAAAGACTACAAATACGCATTTTTAAAGCTGTACCTTCTTTATTTTATTTCTACTTCAATGGAAAACCTAAACTTTTCACCCCACCACAAAACACTAAAGCATCTCCTTCAGGGCAGTGAGTTGAGTTAAATGCACTAAAGGTGAATAAGCAATGCCAAGCAAAGATGCCCTTAAAATCATTAAACAAAGCCCTTTTTCCAGCTAGTACTAAAGCCACCTTTTTTTGCTTTTTTTTCTGAAGAAGAAAAAGAAGTCCTCATACACCAAACATTCTGGTAGCAGAGTCTAAAAGATATCTTAATGTCAATACTTTTTCATCTGTGAGAAGAGAGTGTGTCACTCTCCAGACCATAACATTAAATTCTCAGCCACTGCAATGTTTTTTTTACCCTAAACTTAGTCCCTGGTGCTATCACAGTGCCGAGTTCCCCTTAGACCCAACATAGTATCTAGCACAACTGAGACCTGATTCTGGTGAGGAGTATATGTCATTACCATAGTAAAGACCAGCAGAGACAAGGGTCATTCAAATGAGGAGCAGCTCATTTGACAGTCACGTACCTTTGGGGAGAGGAATTTGAAGCAGGTTATTTTAGAGCTTCTGCTTTACTGTGAAAAAATCGAAGTTGTTAAAGGTTTGAAGAAGTGTGTAATGGGAAGCATTTTTTCTTTACTTTTAAGAGAAAGGACATTGGGTACCAGGATATTCTCATAGTTTACTGGCTTAACTGGTCATCAGAGTGGAAAGTTGACAGCAATGTAGATGGGTGTACAGCATAAAACCTGTCTAACTGTCTGCTAGTTTTGGAGGACCTGGTATTTGCTGGGCTGTTCTGGATTAATGCTCCTGTATTTACACTAAGAATATCAGAGCTGGTGAGAGCAAGGCAGGAATGAGGGAGAAGAGGAACAAAAAAGTAATATATACAAACCCCACCTTTATTTTACCTCTGCTCTAGAGGTATCCCCTCTGTCAAAAAAAAAAAAAAAATCAAGAAATAAGATTTAAGAATCCCAATTATCATCAGGGACAATCACAGTCTCTGAAAGATCTAGACATATCTACAGCTGTTTATCAGATTGGATTGTTTTTCTCCAGAGGCTCAGTATTTGTAAAGATGAACTTTTTGACCTTTTACCTCACAACAAAAGAAAGCAAAAGTGATGGGTTTGTTCTTTTTTTTTTTTTTTTTTTTTTTAACTACTTCATTCAGTCTGAGGTGGCTTATATTTATTTGGAGAGTTTGGGTGGTCAAACAACCAAAAGTTCAAAGTGAAAATTCAGATCACCATCAGCTCCATTCTCAATGTTTTATAGGTGGAACTAATGCCTAATGAAAAGGTAGATCAAAATCATAACATGTTGTTAAAAACAGGTTACCTCATTCATTAACTTCTTCCCTAAATCTACCAAAATATTTAAAAGGGAGCACTTAAGTTTGTCAACAGACACATAAGTATGCTGGCTTAAAGGGGAAGGAAACTGACATCATGATTCTTCTTTGAAGGTTTCTTTGGCTATTTCTGGAGTCAACCCTTTTCCCAATTGGATTTATTGCTGTTATTGCTAAAAGCACAGCCTGCACACTGCGGCATGAAACTCCTGTAGCCGATCATGTATAATGTGAGTTTTGGGAATTCCCCATTGCAGTTCATGTTATTTGCGCAAGAGATGAGAATGTGGAATATCTTGTCATCCAAGTAATTACAGGTTGGTCTGGTAACACAACTTCCGTCCCAACATAGCATAGCTTTGGCGACATTGTCTTTTGGAGGTGAAAGGAATGGGACAAGAGGAAACAAGTTTTTGTAACCTTTTTCCTTTTGCAGTCCAAGCGCTCTTTGTCATCCCTTGCAGCACAGCTTTTATGTTCCTCCAGCTCCAGGTTTGACAATACCGTGACAGATGGTATTTGGTAAGACTGAATGAGACGCTGCATGCTTAGTTTTAGTAAGAGAAGAGAAATTAGATCACAGGCCTAGATCAGATGATAAAATTGGAGAATTGAGGAACTCTCATGACTGGGACAGGGCAAAGGGTCATAAGAATCTTTTTACTTCATCTATATTTCTAATGTAAACACGGGTAAAATTACAACAGCTAGAAAGCGGGCAAAAGAAATCGGTAAAAATCAGAACAAAGCCAGTTGAGAAGGGGGTGAGAAAATGGAAGTGAAAAGCAGAAGCTGAACTAGTGAAAGCCTGCAGTTAGAAGACATGAACTTTAAGGCTGGATACACTGATGTTACTTTGCCATATTTCTATTTTTAAATTATTTTTTCTATGAAATGACAGCCTTGTATTCCAAAAAAGTACTTTACATAGGTGTGTGATTGAGTGTTTCAGTGTGACACATTGAAAGGATGTCTAATGAATACCAATTTTGGTTGTAGGCCACCTATAACTTCTATCTTAGCATTCTCACCCTTTTGTAGGTTCTCTAGAGCTCTGTCAACTCGTGTGCCAAAAAAACTCCCACAACAAACCTTGACAGATCTGACCTGAAATTCAGCATGCAGAGAATAAAGAACTAGTGGGGCTATTTTGTAGAGTCATTTTTTGAGTACAGGCACGTGAAAAGCATTGCATCCAGCCAAAGGAGATAAGTCAGTGCTTTCCCGCTCACTCCATTGAGCAGTACAGTGTACTACTCCTTTAAGAATGGGAATACATCTTTGAGGCTAGTCTATAGTTTCAAAGTGTAAGAAAATTCAATTCATTGTGGTAGAACATATTTTTTTAATATGAAAAAAAGGTGCAAAACCTGCCAACATCTACCACCACAAAACCCCCCAACCTCAGGGTAAATAACTGCTCTGAGTAATATTGAAGTCCTACTGAGAGCACATCTGGACCATCTCTCCCTAATGTGGATCTCTGTTCCCTTTCAGAGGTGGACGAGAGATGAATTAGATTTGCTGCGTTTCTGCTGGGCTGCTGCAGCTCTGGCAGCTGAGGTGCTTTCCATGGGGACAGTCACGCACCAGGGAGCACAAGCAATATTGCACTTTCTGCAGTAGGGGAGGGAGCTTCTGGGAAGGGAGCAAAGAGATCACCCAGCTGAATACTGAGAATCTCCTTGCTGCTTCAGAGAAGGAACTTCGAATTGCCTGACTCTTTACAAAAGCAAGCCAGACATGCACACAGTTTCTAACTCTATCCAGGCTATAACTATCTAAGAACATAATCTTATAAAGACACAAAAAATAAGCGTGACCTCTGCCTACTGCATTTATCTGATAGCTGGCTGTACCTCAGAGTTATCACTCCAGACACTAAAAACAAATGGCAGAACTTCTAGCTGTGCTCTCTTCTGGCGCTAGCTATCTTTCATTTTTATGAGGAAGAAAAGCGAGTGTTTCTACTGGGTGTTACACAGTTTGCATGTAGATATGGCTGAGAAGAGAATTATCCAAGTCACTCAACATTCATCCCTGGGTTAACCATGGATGTTTGTGTTCTTTGTGTATTCCGGTATTGTTAAAAAGTTCATCCACCTGATGCCAGCTACAGGTTTATTCACCAGCCTCTATTTACACAGGTAGAAATGTTTTGCAAAATATCCATATGGTTTCTTTGTCAACAGCATTATCAGAAATGACAGATGCCATACCTAAGGGCTGTCTGATCTGCAGGAGACATAGAAATGAAGTTTCATTAACATTTTTCTTTGAAACGTCTTGGCTTGTTAAAGAAGAGAACAAATGAACATTTTGAGGATGATGTTCTTACCTGAAGAGGGAATTTCCCACCCCAAACATTGCTGTAACATGTTCTTGATCATCACCGCTGTGTAGGGAGGTCTAGTCACTGCATTAACCACATGGAGATCTTAATGAAAGAAGATATTTTAACACGAATGTGTCCTGTTCTGGAGTTGTGATGATTAGCATAGCTGCAGTGGTATGGCTGGCCAGCATAGACATGGCTTGTACTGTGGCAGTCACCAGCTTACCCCATGGGGGAACCCCACTGGTGACTGGGTGGGCAGATCCTTAGGGCAAGGCTGTGTGCTCTGATGAGTTTTGGTTCTCTGGGGCACTGTGTGTCTCATTTCTTTCTCCTCCTTCTCTTAACAGCAATGTCAGTAAAAGCGTTCCTATGCTTTCACCAATGCAATCTCATCTAAAGAGCAGGCTGATTTCTGAAAATGCTTTATTTTCCAAAAAGAAGCAAAACAAAGGTAATCTCACTAGGGCTGCATGCCCATCTTAGGACGTGTTTTCATGGGCCCAGCAGACTCTTCCACTCCAAAGAACAGAACGAATAGCATGGTCCTTCAACAACACAAGCTGACAATGCAAACATGCTTACAAGTATGGGATAAAGAGATTTAATGTAGTTTAGGACAAAGTTAAAGTAACAAGAATGGATAAATGACAGCAATTATAAACTCTGAAACTGAGATTGCTAGTCAAGTCAGTGATAAGGAACCCAAAAAGGGGGAGCATACAGGATTTTTTATGGGAGAAATGAAATAATTAGAAAAGAAAAACCTCCCAGAAGTATGTATGCATGCATTGTGAGACAGGAGGGTGTGCAAGGCCAAGGGCACCCAGCCGAAGTGGCTCTGAAGCAGGAAAGGACTTTCCTCTATCTATCTACTTGTGTTTCTTCAGAGCAATCTGAATCAGGAACCCCAGGCAATTTCTACACTACTGGTGATTTTCAGTCTGACAAGCGTCAAAGTACAGGGCATATTTCTGGATTTTTTTTGTAGTGAATACAAGGCTCTGTAAGTTAGGTCGAATAAAGGTGACTTGGAAGGACCTTCAGAAACAGCCCAATATGCAAGATATGCACCATGGTTCAAAATGAAAGAGTTAAGACAAATCAGGATTTTGAAGGACTTGCTAGGGGCTTCAAACAGATGGGTGTTTGTAAAGCCTTTTGATTTCCTTAATTTCTTATTTTAAGAAGGCAGGAAAGTAGGTACAGCATTATGTTTTCTATCAACAGTTTCCTCCCCCAGGTATCAATTGGAAAACAACCAAAACTTAAGCTAAAGGTGACTGCCCTTTAGTGTCTTGCTGAATGAGCCATGACTCCCACCTTGGTTTACCCACAAATTTCATAGAACTGCCTAAAAGATTTTTTCTAAACAAGATAAATAGAAGGATTGCCCCCTGACAAATGCTTAAGTTCAAGTGAAGTGTATCCAGTAGTGTCTAACCACAGGGCTGTTTGGGTTTCTTTTTAGTCTTGTTTACCTGTGTCTGTGTCATCAGGCAGGCTTGACTGGGAGAGCAGACTATTTGCACAGGAGCGTATTTATTTACCTTCCTGGTGATCTGTGTGCAACTGCTAAATTTTCTACAGTATTTTTAAATTTTACCTGTGTTCATGCAATTGGAACAAATTTTGAGTGACCATTTTCACAGTGGAATATTGAAGTAACCAACCTGACAGCTGTTACTCATTGAACCATATGTGGCAGTCAAGAGGAGAAAAGACATAACTATGTATAACACAGTCATTTTGGCTCTAAGATCTGTATTATTGTGTCACATCCACTTCTACTTTTTAAGCTGAGCAAGAGGAACACGGTAACATTTGAGGGATTTTTGTCTGAGTCAGCATATTTAGGCAAGAAGAGTGGTGCAGCCTTGTCAGCAAAGATTTAAAATTGCACTTTAAAGCAACATTATTTTCCCAATTAAGTGGGTGGGGTTTTGTTGTTGGGTTTTTGGGGTTTTTTTTTGGCATAGTGGTAAAATTTCATTAGTCACTGGCCTTCATGTGTAAAGAGGGAGTAGATTTAAAACATTTTTTAAACTTAAGTGACTTCTATTTTAAATTCTTAGTAAAAGGCTTTTTGGAAATAAGGTAACAGTGCACTTATGAGCAACCACAAACTGAATATGCCCCCTTATGAAAATGGACACTTACAGATTTTCTCAATGTATGTTTCTTTTGCACAGAAGTGAGAGAAATAGTGTTATGAAATTCCATCCAAAACACAGTGTTGTCTTCTCAGCTGTAGGTCCAGCCAAGTATGCATGCTGATACGATCCTCATCACATAAGGACAGATCTGACCTTTGACTGTTACTTACTTGGGCAGTTAATCCCAAAGCGGATTTTGGCTAACAGGTGTTTCAGAGGATGGCACTTTGATCTTTAAATATTCATTATTTTATTCTGCTGTGTAGATAGTCCACAGAGCACGTTCTAGAGCTAAAGCAGCAATACCCTGCCTGTATTGAGTTTCAAATGGATCTTGTCTTCCACAGGGTTAACAGTCTGGAGTCTCTTACAAAGTAATTTATCAGCCAGCTGGCCTTTCAAATAGGCAGCCGTCTAAATTCAGAGTTACAACTTTGTGTGAGATGCCAAGTTTAGTGGCAACTTGCAGCGAACAGATAAGGAGAACAAGTGTACAGTTACACCTCGTTTCAGTTTGAAGACTGCCATGATATAAATGCTGGAACGTGCTGTGATCACACTTCTGCTTTCAGTCAAACTGTCTTTCTCTGGCTGAAACAGTAATGGACTTTGACCCCAATATTACAGGCACACACAGTTTAAAGGAAAGAGAAGTAGACTTGGCACCACTCCACATAAAGAAAAGGGGAGAAGCTTGCTCCCTGTAGAGCTGAGTACAGTATCCCCACCTCCTTCTGCACCAGAGGTTCTGGTGTGTGTATATAACTATCCTTAATATCTGCACACAGCATCTCTTACAGGATTGGCACTCCAGCCTTTTTTAGCTGCGGCTCTTTTTTGTGTTCAGTCTCAGGATCATTTCTAATGAGATCCTTTTCTATTGAAAGATCAGGTGTTTCTATTGTGAATCACTCTGGATGGAAACGAAGCCGTAAACATTTCATGATCTTCCTTGCAGGATTTGTTTATGTGGATTCCTTGTGGAATTCTTCATATAAAAAAATTAATGAGGTTAGTTTTAACTGAAGTTAAATGAAGCAGGCATTTAGATGTTTTCCTGCATTGCTCAGACCACATATGGCCGAGCAGCAACAATGGTGAGGTTTCCTAAATTTTCACTTCAAATTCTGTCAAGTTAATTTTGGTCCCTGCCTCTGTTCCTTCTTCCAAAAAGGTTATGCTTCAAACGAAAATTTTAAGCTTAGGCAGATGTGTTTAACTGCAGATCTTAGCAGTGCAGGTGAACTGAGTTATGGGAAATACAGAGTCTGGGAGGAGTTTGGGGCCTGCTTGCCCCAAAAGAGGAAGTGTACCAAAGCATCAGGAAGTACAGATTCTGAAAATAGACAAAGGATCCAGCATACCCCCCAAAATTGCTTTCCCCTTACCAGCATAGATCTGGGTAATTTGTTGCTCATGCAAGTAGAATTTGCAGGGTTTTTTAGATTCAGCAAACTATCAGCTGTTTGTACACAACTTTGTAGTTAACAAAAAATAGTTTTCTGAGCATGTCAAAAGGAGGCTGCTGAAAGGGGCACAGTTCTGTGTAACCTGTGTGTGCCTGTGGGAAGGATGGTAACTCAAAATTGTAGCAGTGTTGGTTGCCTTCCTCTTTCTCTAACTGGGCTCCATAATGCAGCAGGTGTCAGTTAAGAGCTGCATGAATGATGCTTTAACCCCTTGTGTCTTCCCAGGTGGTATCATGATAATCTTACCCGGCATGCAGCAGAAGCACTGCTGCTTTCCAACGGGCAGGATGGAAGCTATCTCTTGAGGAAGAGTAATGAAAGGGAAGATTTGTACTCCCTCTCTGTAAGGTAGAGTATGGACAGAAGTGAATTTATCTAATGCCGCACAGCTAGCAGTTTAAAAATCTTCACTTACTCCCATGTTTGTTTACATGTCTCATGCATTGAGATGACCTGCAGATTTTTTCCTAGGGCTCAAACTATTTTAATATATATTGCTAATGGTGTAATCCTGCTGAATGATATTTTGTTAGAAGAAAAAAAATATTTTGATTGGATTTGAAAATTGCTGTCATTTTTCCAAACTATGAATTAATCTTATTGGTAAAAAACATCATTCCATGGTTTGGCTGTAGACTTTCAGTCTGCATGATAAAAATCTGTATGGCAGTTACAAGAGTTTAAAAAACAGCTGGTGGGAGTAGAAGAGTTTTCTGATGAGGGTAGTAGTAAATATACCAGTTAATAGGCGCTAACTTCACCAGTTTCTGGATCACCGTATAGGAACCATCATCTTTGAGGGACAATCTAGTGTTTAACTGGATGGTTTTACTCCTCCGTTCTGGGCTGACTCAGTCTTAGCCAGTAATGCGTAACTGATTTGAACAGTATTTCACAAGTGACAGACGTCAGGCCCTTGAAGTCATCAAAATGACAGCAATTTTACATCGGTTCAGGGGACAGCCAATACAGAGCACAGGTAGCCTGGCCTGGGTACTTCACTACTGAATCACTTTTAAAGACCTTCCACTCTCCCAAGAAGCAGAGAAGCCACAATATTTCAGAAAGGCAACATGAAAGTCATATGCATTAGACAGACAAGGTAGTCCCTGCATGTCAGCTGAGTGGAGGTAACCAACCCTAAATACGTTCTTAGCCTTTAGCAACTGTATGATATATTAAGCCTCTACAGTGAAATTTTAAGCTAGTGCATTCAAGCTCATTTCTGCCTCAAACTGAGCCTCTGAACAATTAGTCACCACAGCTCAGCTGAATTGCAGTAACTTTTTAAGTTAAAGTCACTTTGATCAGTATAATGATGCTAGTTATTCACAACCCTAATAGACAGGAACACAGCATATGCCCTTGAAATTGTGACTTTCTGCATATTCAGTACCAGGAGCTGTTACAATTTGGAAGTGTAGTCACTTGGAAACTGAGGAGAGTGCAATTTGTACATACCCTATTCCCCAGAGGTATAAAAGGCAAATACAAATTGCTCACTTATCTCTGACAGAAGACCCAGGAGCAAGTGTGTGTATACATACACTGCTGAAGTCATTACCACTATAGACAGCCATTTATACAAGGAGCTTTGGTGGGTGCCTGACAGATCTGAAGGTGATGTTGCAAAATGAGTATACAGAGTAGCAATGACTAATTGAGTGTGAGTCTTGGGAAAAAGAATTTATAAGTATATATATAAGAATATTATAAGTAAAGCTTTGCTTAAAAAAAAAGTAATTTTAAATGAATCATTGTCTTGCTGATTAATTTTTTTTTTACTTTAAAATGTAACTAAACATTATTTGAGGTAATCTACCTCAGACAATTTTTAAAAAACATATCTTGATGCTAGTTTTAAAGGGCACTCAGGAAACAACTTACTGTAATAAAATAAAATTCAATTAGCTGTTCTTTTAATAAGAAACACAAGCAAAAGTGTTAGTTAATGAAAATAAATTTGCTGCCTTAACAAATTCTAGCCTTAGAAGACCTAGAGAAGTTTACTTCAGGTCAATTCCCATCTCTTGTTCAGCTCTCCATGTAGGAACAAGAGTTACATACTGCATTTCCATATGAACTGAATATCCCAATCTGGAGTCTGATCTTTTATTCTGTTACATTAGTTTTTTGGTGGTACAGCTCCCCTGAAATACCGATTTTGATTTTAAAATGTTTTAATATTTTTCTAAGGTTTGTTTAACTCTTAAGTTTTCCTTTCCTTTTTTTTTTACTAATATTAAAACTGAATTTTAGAATAAGTAATTCCATTTTGTTCTCATACATTTTTATAGAAAGGATAATTTTAGCAATTCTAGCTATCATTTTCTTTCTCTCCTAAAATGTCTTCTATAGCTTTTACTTTACTTTCTGCTTCTGCCTCACAAGGAACTTCAGTCATTATTATAGTTTGTTTTAAAAGGAAACAAGGCACAGACATTCCTTGATGTTTTTATTGCCGGCTCTAAGCAGAGAGATCACACATTGCCTGAAATCCTTTCCCCCAGTAAATTAGCCAACTTCAAAAAGGAACTAGGAAATAGAGTAGAAGTTGCTCTAATTGCAACATTGTATTTCTTGTGAAATTAAATGAAAAGATGAAAACCCTGTCATTGCAGTGGAGTCACAGCAGCTATTTTCTGTTGTAGGGCATCTGGACTTGGTTTGCGCGCATTGTGTCTCAGCTGACTGTAGCGCAAAACATGCAGGATGTCAATAGAGGCACGTTCTACAATATTACGAGTACTGTTCAAAGATAAATATTTGTTTAAATACCTGTTTGATATTAAAATCTCCTGTGGAAGTGGCAATAAACAATGGAAAAGACACTATAAATCCCTTTCTTCACCATATTTTCAGTATATTTGCTACACACATTTTTCCTGAGACAAAGTTGTCTCTGGACTATTTTGGATGCTAGTAACATAAACAGAAGTAACTTTTTCACAGGAGAGATACTTGCACTAAATGCTTCACTGACTTCTGAAGTCAAAATAATTGCCTGTCCAGGAAGTGAGGCCTTGCACACTTCTCTAAATACCATCAGCTTTCATAAACAAGTGCTGTAACTTCCCTGACAAAGGACCCTGGTTCATATTTGACAGTGCCCACCATAGAGGAGCCGTTCGCCTGAGTACAGAGACAAAGCAGACAAATTTTAAAGCCTTAGGTATCTAAAGTTAGGTTATTAAACCCCTGTTTAGGTGCAAAAAAGGAGGCAGCCTATTTTTGAAGGAAAAACGGAAGACATCTTCAATGCGATTGGGATGTTACCTGAAAAGTAAGACATATACTGAATAATACAGGTACACTACCAAGACTAAAGCCTAGTAAGTGAAGGGATATCATCCTGCTTAGCCAGAAGGCTGGAAACCTCGTTTATAAGCCTTATAATGATTGCCGCAAGAATTAATTTAACTTGCCCTTTCTAGGCTTTCCTCATCTCATATTTGTAAAACAGCAATTAGATTTTTCTTAATAAATCTGAGTCTCAGAAGTGTTGAGTATCGGTGAGGGACAGTAATGGCAGTAGTACTACTGCTAGGACAGCAATTGTCAGCCTGTGATCTGGGCCAGATTTCCTGTAGTAGAAGCTGCTATTTAAGGGTCGTACATGCCAAATGCCTTTGGCATTTATGCCTTGACAAATTTTCCCTTTTTATTTTAGGGGAAAAGATTCTGTGAAACACTTCCACGTTGAACATACAGGAACTTCATTCAAATTTGGATTTAATGAATTTTCTAGCTTGAAGGAATTAGTCATGCATTTTGCAAATCAGCCTTTAATTGGAAGTGAAACAGGTAAGAAGAGCCATATGTTTGTATGAACACATTTGTAGTCATGCTTCACACGAGTAAAAGGAGCTTCCGATGTGTTATCGGGTAGATCTACTGCTGCAGTGTTCCTCTTCAGAAATTCACATTTGTATTAGCCTCAAGTATCTAAGATGTTCCTTTTAAAAAACTCTTTCAAGTACTCTGAAGAAACTACATGTAAGCTTACTGGGTTTTTGCTAACCAGGGGCATGAACTCCTTTTGATTTCTCAGAGAGAGAAGGAAGCGTTTCGAGATATGCATGTCCTGGGAGGAGCAGAACCTTCTCAAAAAGGGCAAAACCAAAGCAGGGTGTTTAGTGAGGAAATATGTGTTCATCTATGAAGTTGAAATCATGCAATAAGAATAAATGGAAAAGGGACTTGAAATTGTTTAGCTCCCCTATTCTTCATCCAAGAAAGAAGTCTACAGTGATATATGTACCTCTTTCCTGTAGGAAATGTACCCTGTATTACCTCTCCCTTTCTGTCTACAGTGGATCAACCTGCTGATGCCATCTGCCAGCACAGTGATTTGTCTTGTTTATAAGAAAGAGAAAAAGCACAGGCTTCTTTATCAGCCAACATGCTACCTGAATTAAAAGTCAAAAGAATAAAGTTGATTCATACGAGTGAGTTGAATACCACCAGGCCAGAATCCCTGGAGAAACAGATGCAAACTGTCATGATAGTGCCAGTTTTAGGTTTAGCTTCAAATGCAAGAGTTGAAGGTATGTCAGTACAAGTTAGTGCCAAAAACTTCAGTATCCTGTATAGAAAGTGTATGCAAATAACTCAGAGTAGTACTAATTATATATGCAAGTGACCAGTTAAACAATAGTTAACACATGCAATAACCGTAGTATGTCACACACTAAATACGCACCAATGCTCTTGTAACACAAGCATTAAATTCAAGGGTTGCTTTGCCATCCCCCCCTCCCCCCCAAGAAAAATGCAGCGGTACACTCAACATGGTGCTTTTATCTTTCAAAGCATTCTCTTTTTAAGTTGTGGGTTTTTAAGTGTTGTCGTGGTTTAACCCCAGCCAGCAACTAAGCACCAAGCAGCTGCTTACTCACTTTCCCCCCCTCCGCCAGTGGCATGGGGGAGAGAATCGGAAGGAAAATGGTAAAACTCATGGGTTGAGATAAGAACAGTTTAATAGAACAGAAAGGAAGAAACTATAAATGATAATAATTACAATAATAAAATGACAGTAAAAGGATTGGAATATACAAAACAAGTGATGCACAATGCAATTGCTCACCACTTGCTGACCAGTGCCCAGTTAGTTCCCGAGCAGCAATTCCCTCCCCCCCCGCCCTCCCGCCCCGAGGCCAACTCCCCCCAGTTTCTATACTGGGCATGATGTCACATGGTATGGAATACCCCTTTGGCCACTTTGGGTCAGCTGTCCTGGCTGTGTCCCCTCCCAACTTCTTGTGCCCCTCCAGCCTTTCTTGCTGGCTGGGCACGAGAAGCTGGAAAATCCTTGACTATAGTCTAAACACTACTTAGCAACAACTGAAAACACCAGTGTGTTATCAACACTCTTCTCATACTGAATCCAAGACATAACACTATACCATCTACTAGAAAGAAAATTAACTCTATCCCACCTGAAACCAGGACAATGTTTCAAACACAGAGGTCCTACATGTATCTTTTGTTCAGTAAGCTGTTTTTCCTGTGAAATCAGATACACACCCACAGGCCTGATGCTGTAAAGATTCCAGTTAATCTATAAAATGTATTTCCCATTCCTTCACTGCATGTGTTACAGACATTAGTAATCAAGGCATTGGTGTTATGTGATCTCTGTGGACGGGATCAACACTGCTGAATGATGGGCTCACTTGTCACCTTAAAGCTCCCTAATTGAATTCTGCTGGCTCTATGAAACCTCTTTAAGTTGGATGTGCTACAGAATAAGAAAAGCCATTTGAACATCAGATCAAGAAACCTTCCACCCTACCTTACCATGGATTGCAGTAGAGAGGAAGAGACAGTTAGCACTCAGGCAATATTCCTTCAGATACAGGTGTCAAAGGTCTTCTGGGTGGTAACCGAATTATACCAAAAAGGGGGTAGGGGCTCATCAGAGCCCACTCTAAGCCAAGTGTCAGCATGGCAGAACAACTGGCCCAACACAGGGTCACACAGCGGGTTGGCAGAAGGGCCAGCAACAAAGTCTGATTTCTTAGGCCACATTTCCTTTCAGTCAAAAGCAGCAAGTGACCTTTGGCTCAGGCATTAGTAGAAAGCAGTTGGACCAGTTTTTCTTATTACTTGTTATACTTGCAAGCAATTTCCTATAGAAACACTGTGAGATCAGGAATGAGAGAGTGAAGGAAGATAGTATGATAGCATTTTTCGTCTCCTCCTTGCTTACAGACAGGATTTTATAAGATGGAGACCCACGAGATAGAACATGTAATGGTTTCCACTATCTTCCACTTAAGTTTTGTCTCAGTGGAGCTAGTTTTGTGTGTGAAGAGGCACACCAGACTCTCTTTGATCAGTACTTAAACACACAGGCCTGTACCCCTGCAAACTGGTCTATGGAGTGCAGTGGTTCTTTTGTACTGGGAGACAGCTGCAGGTTTGTGCTTCAAGCCCAACAAACCTTGTCTTACTGCAGCTTCATTTGCCACTCCAAATTGCTACATGGACTCGCATCTATATTTCTGCAGCGTAATGTGTACGCTTCCTTCAGAACTACAGATAACTAAAGCGAAATAGGGGCTACTGTGTTCTGTGAGATGGTTAATTGAACAGGCAAGCTGAATCTATTCAGTAACAAGGTTAAAGTAATATACTATCATATTTCTATATTTCTGTCTATTCAAAGTGACAAGCTCAACATGTTATTCTTACCTGTTTGCTTTTTTTATCAGTTTTTACCTAAATTATTTTGAAAACACATTAAGTCATTACCCACACAAAAAAGCCAGTTGCTTGAAGCTAACATTTCCAACGTGACTAATTTTCATTCTTCCTTAGAAATAGATATCACGCACAAACATGCAACAAGAATTTTGCTACAGTGCAGCTTTTACTAGTTCTTTTGTACAGTTACCAGATGATTCTGTACAAGTATTGTTTGTGGAGAAAAAAAAAAACATGGAGAACTTACTAGAAAACATTATTATATAAAATGTTAAACTAGTCCTCCCAGTCTGCAATAGGGCTCTTTATCCATGGTGTACAGATGATGGTAGTCTGATTCTGTGCAACAGCTTAAGAGTAGTTTCTGTAGACTGGTGATGGAGGAGTTCTCAATTTCATTTTAAATGATAAAGCATTTTTTTTCTGCAAGGCCAGAGAGAATGAAACTGATTTTGACTTTTCACCTATTGCAAGTTGAATATATCACATTTGCATACACCCTCTGTGCCTGCAAACAGATTTCAGTTGGTTACTCCAAATACGATTTTTCCACTTCCCTTTGTAGCCCTTCCCATTACAAAATATACTTTCAGCTTTATTTCAGTTTTAAATTACTCAATCACCTGTAGGTTTCAAGTCCAAGTTCTTACCAATTCTCGCATCCCTCCTTGTTTTACAGCTGACAATATCAGCATAAAATGCAAATGGAGCAGCATTTGGTATGCTGTGACATTATTTTTAAAGAATGAGATTAGATGGTGTAGCAGTTACTATTTTAAGGAGGTTCTTCACTGTTGTGAATGGTGTAATAGATTCACTATTGAGAATGGAGCTTTTTGCAGAGAACATGTAATAAACATAACCTTATTTGCAGAACAAAGAATGGCTATAATCAAAATGTTACTAACTGGAAAGAGCTATGGTAAAACAGTTAAAGGCGATGGTAATGTGGGATTACTATTAGGAAGTCTGTACCTGAAGCACTGACAGATGAAGTGATTTACGCAGCAAAACAATGGCTTGTTGGCAAAACCAGGACGACTGTTAAGGCCTCATATCTAGTTTAGCATCCTGCCTACCCACCCGCCCAGCCTCCTGTGCAGGAAGGAAATTTAATGAGTCAAGTGATTCCCTGCAAGCACTAGTAAGTTTAAAGGTTTTAAAATGGTGCCATATATTTAGTTTTCACAGTTGCATGTAAACAGGTGTGATAATGTCTGTAGTCACATCTTCATGGATGCAGTGAAAGTGTAGGTCACGCGTAGGTCAGCATTTCAGCTCTAACTATGAAATCTGTGTTTCAATTTGTTCTGTATTACCTAGTTACTCCCTGACTGGAAAGAAGGTTCAAGCAGGACAGGAGACACCTGCCTTTGAGGGTTGTCTGGCAGTCCTTTCTGTTGCTGTCTTGATTTTTTGCCACTTACCATGCACTGCAGAAGGGGTTTAATTCCCTACTGCTTAGGAGAAGTGAAGAGGGTTTTCACTCTTGTTTTCAGAGATGCAAGAATAAATTGACTCCCACTGTACAGGGAGGAAGGAATGGATTTAGGCAAGGTCCAGATGCCCAAGGTATTGAGGACCCTGAGCAACATGACAGAGCCAGGAAAGTGAGACTGGGCAAGTGAATCCAGCAGCAAGTGCCCCTCTGTAGTTTGCACGGATTTTTGTAGAAAATACCCTTCGCAAAGTCTAAACTATTCAGATAATGCACATTAGAAGTATTTGTCTAGTTTTATCAGTATGGGAGAGTCATTTATAGCCTCTGATTGTTTTCTCATGTGGGTGTGGCCTGACTCCTGCCCCCTTCCAAGGAAAACCCCGTACAGGAAGTGTCGCAGAGATCTTGGGGAGGTTATTAGCTCTTACACCTTTTTAATTTTAGGAAAAGGTAAAGTTAACCATTCCACAAACAGGCTGCTACTGCCAGTTATTTTCTAAGACTGTCTTGCCAGATGACTTACTCCTGCTCTTTTTCTCTCCAGGAACCTTAATTGTATTGAAGCATCCCTACCCACGGGAAGTGGAAGAACCTTCCATTTATGAGTCCGTCCGAGTTCACACAGCGATGCAGACAGGAAGGACAGAAAGCGACCTTGTTCCAAATGCTCCCTCAGTAAGTTGTGTTCAGGTGGGAGGGATGCTTCTCCTGGCCCGAGTATAGTATGGTTGCTGGAGTGAGCTATGGAATAATGCCACTAATTCATCCCTTTATGGGTTCGTAAATACAGGAAGTCTTTGCTGACCAAGGCAAAACAAACACAGACTTGCTAAGTACAGTCCTATGACATAAAGCTTTTTACAATTGTTGTCATTGAGACCTTCAATGCTGTCACTGGGAAAGCGCTGTCTGCAGCTGACCTAGGTGAGTCTGACCATCCAAACAAAGAATATATGAAACGTTTTCATTCTCCTGTTATATTCCTTTTAGAATGCCATCTTAACAGTACCATTATCAGGAATTAAAAAAAAAACCAAACCAACAAAAAGCACACCACACAACAAACACAACACTTCTCGCATCTTTCTGACAACACTCATCAGGCAGTACGCAACAATACTTATGTCAGTTTGCACTGTGAGCCCTTGTTTTGCTGAACAACCTTTCCAGCCAGTGGGAAGTCTCTCTCGCTCTCTCCCCCCCACCCCCCCAGGTGAGGAGAGGAATACACTAAATGGCAAAACCAAGTAACAGCTACAGGATTTACTGCATTTTCTCTCAGTCAGTGAATATGAGGATTAGATGACAGGAAACAGATAGATAGTTGTCCTGACAGACATAAACTCATTACCACTTATTATTTTTGCAGTTGTCTTTGTTTGTTAGAATTATTTTGCCCAGTTAGCAATACACAGCCTCCTTCCTAACTGGGGGGAAGGAAAGAGCATCTCTGACTTTCTAAGTCAGTTAAAAAATGACCTTTTGAAAAAAATATTCAAAGGTGTGCAAGACAGGCAGGGACACATTTGGAAAAGGAAATGCCAAACTGAAGCGTATTACGACCAAGTTAATAAAAGTATCTGTATCCTGATAGGTACATTACTCAAAAGGGGGTTTTGGCATTTTCACACTTGGATTTTATTATTTTAGAATCACCTTGTCTTAAAGCAGGAAGACAGCTTGCTGTATTCTGACACAGACTTAAACCTGAAACGGAGCAATATGACAGAAGAGCCTCCACCCTTTCAGCCCGATAGTAATTTTGAGCACAGTAAAAAGCTGTGTCGTATTAAAAGCTACTCCTTACTGGTGTGAGAAACAAGAGAACATCTTCATATCCTTTTGGGGCACCTGCTGTGACATCTGTGACTCACTTGGACAGTAATTAGAGACTTTAAATCCCAAGTAACTCATATCTAAGTGAGACAGGTGGTTTCTCCAGAACAGTATTGCTCAGAACAGAGAGGAAAGTATTTTAATTAGATACTATATTTTTTGAGAAAAAGAGGAAGAGTTACATTAATAAGGGTTAATGAAGGTGATAAAAGAACCACTTCTGATGTGTCTCACAACCAACCCTTTATGGCTGAGTTCCACTTTAACTTCCAAAGAAACTTGACTTCCACATACAACCAATAAAAAGGCAATATTTTTTCAAGAGCAAGTAGTAATTAACTTGGCAAGAATTTGTTTTTCAGAGGTCTGCAGTCTCACAGCTAGGTCCCTACACAGAGTTTCAGTATCTGAGAAGTCATAAGGTCCCAGTGTCACTCATGGCAGCAGAGAAACAGTTCAAAAAACAATTTTTCAATAAACACATTTAATGTAGCAGGTTTTTCCTCTCAAGCACGTGGCTGTTTGAGAGAAGAGAATGCCCAAGTAAAACAGCACTTTTCCCCCCTGCTTGCATTTCAAGAGGAATTTCTGTGGATAATTCCACTGTCAGCTAAACCCCAGGTGCTTCTGGTTCCAACACATTCTGAGGCAACCATCTAACTTTACTAAATAAGCTGTAACTGCAACTATTTTGCTGCATTTGGTTGAAAAGATGCAGGCCAGAAGGCTGCTGAGGGAGGCACGGTCTAAGAGATTGCCTTTAGAGCCAGCACAGGTCCATGTTTACCCTTGTGGTGGATCTGGCCGTGTGAGGGGAGCATAGGAGCGAGGACAGGGCAAGTGGCCACGGGAAGTTTCCCCAGGAACAGGCTGCTCTTCCATCTTCTGGATGTAGGCAAAGAGGGGGATGTGGGAAACAGAAGCAGAGCTCAGTCTCTAACACCGATCCCTTTCCTTGTTACTTCACAGCTTGGTACAAAAGAAGGATATTTGATAAAACAAGGCAAAATAGTCAAGGTAAGGAAAACTCTTACTCCTTGCTTCCACTCTGCAATCTTCCACAGAAGCTAGAGACAAAGTGGAGCTGAAATAGCTCCACCTGCATTCCCCTGCAGAGAGGAACAATTTGTGTTGTGAGCAGCAACAAAGCACAACTGTAAACCAGAGCAAGTCAACAGCTTTAAAGTTTTTTCTTTCCTAAGAAGCATTACACTAAATTCTCACAAGACAATTACCATCCATTCTTGATCTTTCAGAATTGGAAGACAAGGTGGTTTACACTGCATAGGAATGAACTAAAGTATTTCAAAGACCAGACAGTAAGTAGCAAACACCAGTTCTGCTTTTTTAACCTCAACAGAGGCAGCTGCGGCCTCCTCATATCTCTGGCTTCTCGCATCTGTATCACAGCTTCCCAAGCTAGAGCTTCCCACACTGTAAGAGGGGTCAGACCTTTCAAATAAAGTCAGAGTTTTGCTGATGACTTCAACAAGAGAAAGTTAGTAAGTTTTACAGCTGGAAAACATTTACTGTGCTCTGTCAGTCTTACGTACTAGGCAGAGTTGTTGTTCACAGTGCATTTTTTGGTTGCTTTGTTCAGTGGATTTTAAATTACCAGCACAACACAGCTTTTATCGGTAGATTTGACACACAACCTAACAGACAGTGGTGCTGTTAAAATATTTCTGAAAATATTAGTAGTATATTTTGCATTCCTTGATTTCATCCATTTATTTCAAGTGGTCACACAGTGTACATAGAAAACGATTAATTTAAAAATGTATTCCTTCCTAGCACTCTGACATAGATTAACCTGCTGCATCTGGGAAAAACAGTGTGTCCTTACAGTTGCTGTTCCATTTCTATCTTAAACTAAGTAAAAGTAAGAAATACCTCTAGTTTCTCCACCCTTACAATACTTCCACTTCAGGTTCCTTCATAAACACAGCCAAACTGTTTACCTCTGCCAAGCCCTCTTTCAAGCATCTAACAGATTTGAACACAACAGAAGACACAACTGCCCTTTCTCACCAAACATCACCGTTTATGAACAGTTATGTTTTTACAGGGCCTTCCATCAGTTTTCATTTCAGTTCAAGCCAACTTGAATTAAATTTCCAGGATAACATTTCAAAGGGCAGCACTCCAAATGTTTGAGTAGCTTTTGTGACTTACCAGGCAAGAAGGTGTCTTTGTCAGGAATACGGCCTCCTCCTGGGCAGCAGCTCCCATGTCTGTTGCTGTGGGGTTGCAGATACCTACAGGTGAGCAACTTGCTGCTGGCCCCTGGGGATGGCATTTGCTAGCATACCTCAGCACAAGTGGCTGTCTGCTAGTGTAGTGTGTAACTAACAGCCAGTGAGCCAGAGGAAAACATAAGGAAGGGTTAGAAAGCAAGACACCTCCATACACCCGATGAAGGATGATGGGAACAGCTAAGGGCATTCAGGCAGGGAGCAAGCCGTTCTACTTCAGCGGCCTCTTCCAAGGTGCTCAACAGTGTGATGCTGAAACAAATCAAAGAACTCCCACACCTAGAGGGAATGAAACTCTTAAGGGAGATGGGTTGCAGTTATACACAGTCTATATCCCTGCACCTGACCACTCCTGGGCCCGTCCCAAGAAACTTAGATGTACACACACTGCTGGTACAGCCAGACTCATCACTTCTGCTGCAAGCACTACCTTAGCTTTGCTTCTGCATGTCTCCCTACCCAGCTTCATCCTTTTAAAGCACTTAGGAATTAATTAAATCTCCAACAGCTGGCTAGGCCTGATAAGACCTATAACTATCCCCTTGTGTTGGTAAACCTTAGCTGGAAGTAGTACTGGATTTTCTGCTGTATCTGTTACATTATAATGCATCAACCAAACCCTCAGCAGTCTGCATCTAGCTCAAACTTTCCTGCAGTAGAGATCTCCTCTGTTGTTTGTCTAGATCTGAACTATCCTTTTTTTTTTTTATATTTAGCTCAATTCATGTCATGTTAGCACTGATGTTATGTCCGCTAGTTTGGGTTTATGGTGTTAACAGCTATTGTACCTATGTCTAGAAAGACCTGGTGTGCGTGTAAAGGTTTAAATGCACTGAAAATGAACCAAGCTAGCCTTATTTTCTGTTTTCATGTGTTTCCATTTTAAAACCATTTATATTCAAGGCCACAGAACCAATTCGGGCACTTGACTTAACTGAATGCTCAGCTGTGCAATTTGACTACTCCCAGGAGAGAGTCAACTGTTTCTGGTAAGTTGCTGTGCTTTCTCTATCTTGCTGGGAAGGTCAAAATAGCCAGGGAATTTTGAAATGTAACCACTGGGTACTTCTGAAAGCTCCCTTGCCAGTAGCAACCCTGCTGTTCCTCTAACTCGCAAGTCTGTTTCTGTCAGCCAGCCTCTGTCGGTCCCGCATGGCTTTGCCAGGTTACTGCTGGCAAAAGGTTTTTCTTGACGAGGAGGAAAGGTGTAGGCTTATGTGTAGTGGGCATTTCTTTTCCTAATTCTGTAAGCATATATAATCATCACCCAGACCCATGGAACTTAGGTATAGTCCAGTTCCCAGTTGAGACATTGCTACGGGTCACACAGTAACTGCTTCTCTGCCCAAATGTGGGTCTTCTGTCCCTATGGGCCTGGGGCAGTGTCTCCCCAAACTGTAAACGGTTGTTCTTGGCTAACCTCCCTCCTGGTGACTGAACGGGAGCATGGCCTCCCTGCCCTGCCCTGCTTTGTCTAAATAATTGTTGGTGCAGGCCAGCTGGGTTCAGTTTTAGGAAGAACTACCAGTTGTTCTAGCAATTTAAGAAATAGGTTTAATTTTTTACTTACAGTTTAGTGTTCCCGCTAAGGACGTACTACCTGTGTGCGAAAACTGGAATAGAAGCTGATGAGTGGATTAAAATACTGCGATGGAAACTGGTAAGATGATGTGCAGTGTTATGTGGCAGTACGCCTCAGGCAGCAGTACCCGTGGTACCACCATCATAAACCCCCCACTATTGTAGTGCCCAAGTGCTACAGTTCTCAGTATCTGCCAGAAGGGAGTACTTGTTCTGGCTTCCAGCCCAACTAGACCAGAAAATGTAGTTTTTGCATAATGTATACACCTGCAAACCCACTTCAGCATTTTCAGGATGCACTTTTAACAGACATATGCATTAGGAAGAAGAAGTTCCTTCCATCTTTAAGGATGTCATTGTGTAGATGGTAAACCATATGGAGCATCAGCACAGACCGCATGTGTTGGGTCATGAAGGAAGCAATGAGAAGACAATGTAAAGGCTTGAAAGCGTTACTTCCTTAAATACCAGTATTTGGGTTAGTCGTACTCACCCACATCCATGTGCATGCAGACAAACAGTAATGGATTGTCTTTCTGTTCTAGTCACAAATACGGAAGCAAGTGGACCAGCGTAACGCCGCCCTCAGTTCCTAGCTGCACCTCCGGTACTTCTGCTCCATTGGCAGGAATTGCCCCTTTGCCAAGGGGAAGGCATCGCTCACAAGAGGACGGTTTCACATGTCTCCATTACAGCAGGCACGCGTGTGCCCGTATACCTGCACGCAGACGCTTGCATCCAGCTCTGCACACAAAGGATTCGTACAGCTGAGTGCTCTCGGGCTGTTGTCACGTGTGGAGACGGTTGCAAAATCAGAGTGTTGGTTTGATGTGCACAGTGTAGGCCTGTAATGCACTTAATTCAAACACCTGTTAACTAATCCCAGGAGCAGTCACTGTTTAAAACTTTTGTGGTTATTCAGAGCACTCTCCATAATTTATTGCAAGCTCCATCGCAGCATATTCTGTAACCTTGAGCCTGTTACTGAAAACCAGTCCTTTCTGGAAACATTAAATATTTCTTTTGTATTATCTGTTTAGGCTCTAAACCAAAAGAAAAATGACAGAGGTTAATTATATTTTTGTAAATAGTATCTGTATTACAATCCAGAGTATATTTCAAGGCCCTTTTCAAGGTGATGGATGAGTAGCACTTAGTTCTGGTCAAATATGTTTTTGTTTGGTTTAGATTTATACCGCAGAGATGGCTACAAGTGAATGTTTGTTTCCAGCAGCAGCTATAGGTATTGGTGAGCAGCATCATGCAAGCACGGTTGTTTACAAACTAGAATTATGAGAAACGGGCAGCTGGTTCCCAGTGTGCCTATGATGGAGCTGCCGCGGGACCCTAAGGATGGGCGACAGGGCTCTGCAGAAAGCTTTGCTTTGTGGCAGCCACCAGCATTGTTAGCAGCATTACGAGTTGGGCTCCTTACGGTCCCCCTTGAAAAAGGGCTGGACTTTGTATTCTTTCCTCATGCAGAGAACTCAAAATGAGGTTTTGGCCAGAACTATGTTTAGAATTAAGCACACAAAAAAGCACCATGTACACTCAAAATACGAATTTAAAAGAACACATCTTCTATGTAACTGGATATAAATTTCCATCTGTATTTTGGAAGACTCACGCAGATGTAAGAGCCTTGTGGCTCGCTGCAGAGTTGAGAAGTGGAAGCCCAGTACTTCAGTGCTGTAGTCAAAATAGATGTTACATTTTGGGAGCAAAGTTTGACATGCTGGAGGGTTCCAAGACCATCTTGACCTGATGTCACTGCAGGCCCAGCTGCAAGACGCCCTGAGCAATCCTGCTTTTCCTGGAGGGGTGGGGAAAGAGGGGGGGCCCCATGTCCCCACGTAACCATCAAGTTTCTGCTGAAACAGTGTAGACAATCCTCTCCCACTATGCAAATGCTGTGGCACAGGGCTTAGTATTGCTCAGACAGCAGGTCAGTGTTCAATAGAATCCTTTACTGTGAGAAGACTGAAGAAGAGCAGGGAAAACACACTGGAAGAAGAAAGAAAAACTAGCTTTGGACATAGGGATAGCATTTTATTTCAATTTAGAAATTCAAAATATTTGTAAATATTTTTATAGACTGTTTTCTGAATAAAATGTCATTATAAAACTACCAAAGGTCTTCTGTATTCATGTACTGTATTGTTAAAGCTTTGCCTTCCTTTTTCCCTTAAAGAACTGGTTTAACAAACTGGCATCTCCCATTTAGTTAAAAAGCTTTGATGAATTTGTGTGTGAGAGAGGCTGTATACGGGGAAGAGAGAGATGATATTCTCTAACAGCATCGCTGTTCTGTGACAACAGCTTGGAAATGAAGCTTGAAGTGTAACCACAGAAGCAGCCTTCCCCTTTTCACATGAACAGGCTGCATTACAGAATGTTAGAAGCACGTTCGGCACACGGTGTCACAAACGGAAGCCAGTAAAAGAAATTGGCTGGCGTAGGAAGCAGTCACAGACAGAAGAGCCAAACAGAACCTAACAGCAACAGTAGGCCCTAGGTGGAACATGAATGCTTTTTGCCAGAAATATACACAGAGATGCCCTGGGGCTCAGTTTCCAGCTGTTTCTGTCATGACCAGCACTAGAAAGCTCATGCCAGGAGCTCAGTTTAAATGGAAAAGGGTTTACTGACAACTTGGAATCTCTGGGAGAGCTTTTGAGCCAAAAATTCCCAGTCCTTGTTTCCAGCACCATTTCCCCCCGTCCTGTCTGATGCTAAAGGTGGGCGAGGTATAAGCAAGGGGGCAGCAGCACCCCCTTTCCCAGCCTGAGGCAGAGACCTGCCAAGAGCTCTCCCTTAGAGCAGCAGTGCTTGGTTTGAGTGCTGGAAGGCTACACTGCAGTCATCGCAAGGGGGATGTCAGAGGGAACAAGGCGGGGCAAAGAGCACGGGATCGATTCCCAGCGATAGGAAGCCAGCGGGCACTAACATCTGCATCTCTGCATTGGCACGGGACTCAGCACCCTTATTACCCAACTGAGAGACACGCAGGTTAGCTTTCGGCCTGTAAACTCCAGGATTTTGTATGTTTACAAACAATTAAGAGACCTGTTCTCTCTGCAGAAAAGCTGATGTGCTGTAGAGTCTTACGGAGCAAGAGAGGAGTGGACCAGGCTCTGTCATTTAAAAATACTGTATTTTATTTATATTTATTTACTTAGGAAAACCTAAGGGTAAATGAGCTGAGAGTGTCACCAGTGATGAACCCACACAAAGACTATGAGACATGAGATCTTCACAACCATATTACACAAAAACCCCATGAAGATGTGAGACATTGTTCAGGTGCTTTTATCTGGGCATCAGGAAAACCCCTAAAGCAACAGCTTTCATAGAAATAGCTTTCTTCTTAGTGGAAGCAGGATGCAGCTAGCATCCAGATTAGTAGCATTCCCTTGCCAAAGTATCACCCACATAAGAAAGCCGGGATATTTATTGATTGTACCGACACATCACTGCCAGTAAGCTTGCTCTCACAATACTCTTCCAACTGCATCTTTGATAACACTAGACAACCGACCTGCTTTCCAACACGCAGCGGTGGCTGGCCTGAGAATACACCCCACCGCGTGCCCGGTTCCCTGTAAAGCAAGAGATCTGTGGGTTGCTCATTTGAGCCAGCAGCATCATGCCAATCTGGCTCAGCTGGCTGAGCTAAACTCCATGGGAGCTATTTTGGTGGTCTCTCCAGTACTGCACAATACAAGAAGCATGGCCTAAAGTAACATCCACCTACAACACACTAGTAGATCGTTTCAGATTCAGTACTATGTACAATTTACTCTTACTTAGTATACTAAGGAGCTGCGGTATTTCTTCTGAGACATGTTATTTGACTGAGGATTATTGAATCTTTCTGTCCACTGGGCTGCAGAAGGATGCTGCACTCCGGCTACACCATCAGGTTAAGAAACTTCAACAACCTGCCTCAGTTCTTCGAACAGGGGCGTAAGCTCCTTCTCTAAACTTACAATCAGCCCTGGAAAGAGAGAAGAGACAGAACATCCGATCAAACAACGTAACTGAGAAGCCTCTCTCCAAACTCCTCAGTTCCCTCCCCTCCCAAGTCACAGGCAGTCTGTTCCAAAACACAGAAAAGTTTCACATGAGCTGCTCACTCTCCAGGGGAACAGCAGGCAGCACCCCCAGGCAGGTCCCTGCAGCCCCCGGCACCAACTGGGGCACACCGCGTGCAGCGCAGCTCTCCCCCTTCCTGCTGGTTGCCTCGCTGCTTCCCACAGCTACTGAGGCCCAAGCAGCTGTGCAAGAATTAAATGCCTTTTGCTCATCCTCTCATTAGGCAACGCCCGCATGAGCAAGGCCAGGTGCCCTGCTGAAGGACTTCCCCACCCCACAGAACTGAGAAGGCGAAGCCACACATGTTACTGCGGAACATAAATTGGAACTGACGGAAAGAGACTGAACAACTGGTTTGTACGGTACAATCATTGCTGGCACAGTGAACACTGTCAGGCAGCAAGGGTAAGGTTAATCACAGGAGAAATACGCTTCTAACAGAGGAACAACTTCAGCAAGTCACGTAAAATCTACAAATTTTTACTCACACCTTTCCCTTCTCCCCTTCAAAATACGCTGACAAAATTCATAGCAGGAGCAAAGTTAGTACACCTTGAAGTAAATTTGGGTAATTTATTTTCAATTATTTAAACACCTGGGCCTTAAAATACTGCAATACTTAAAACACTTGTGAAAACATACCAGTATTGGCACTGCTGCTAGCAATGAAACTTACTACCAAAGGTAAGCGATTGAACTGCACCACCTGCAAGGAGAGAGAACAGTGTTCAGCCAGCAGCTAACAGACATTGCATATCAGAGCTGCGCCACATAAATTCTTCCTGAAACAAGCAGCCACCTCAGTTTAAAGGAAAAGCAGGAGCCAGAGCCACAGAGCTGACTTTTCTGTGTACCTATTTCATAAGATCCACAGTTAAAAACACCAACAGAACTTACACCACAGTACAGTGAGCTGCAGGTGGAAAGCCCGGCTTTTCCCCTCCCTCCCGAGTTCTGCAGTGTTATCCGCCTCAAATCTGACTCAGCTGCCAACGCTGCAGAGTACACTATGGAGACCACACACTCCACAGGTAACAAGAGGGCAGGCAGGTTTATTGTTTTAACATACTGTTCTGTGTACAGCAGTTCCTCTTCTTCCATTAACAGGGAACTGGAACCTTGAGCACAACAATAAGCTAGCAGCATCAAGAGAATCAAAGCGATGTACTCAATGTGTGTAAACTAACTCATTCACCCATTTATTTTCCAAACAAAGGTAGATACTGTAGGCTAAACAGTTGGCCAGTTTACTGCAGTCGTAATAAAAAGCTCTCAAGACCGCTAGAACTTGAGAAGGAGCAGAAACTTAGTAGATGATGGATTTCAGGACACAAATAACCAGTTTGTAAAAAAACATGAGTGGTATTTCAAAGTTTTCTTACCTCAAAGTCATACCGGCAGAAAGATTAGCTATGAAGTAGGCTGCACATGCCTATTTAACTTTAGGTGTCACTAGTTATGAACAAATATCGTTTGTAAAAGAGAACATAAACCCTTCATAACAGACTCTGAAGGCCATATGAGCAGCACCTGCTGCAAATCCCCGATTACTACCTGTTCAGAAAAATTCACTATTTTCAACCAGTACATCTCAGTTTTGAGAAACATAAGAGAAGCTTAAAAAATAGTGCAAAAGTTTAGCTTAGCCGTTTAAGCAGTGTAAGAAATAAACCACAAATGCTTCAATAGCAGCCAAGTGCAAATCCAGCAAAGTTTAAACCACCTCTCCCTTGCTCAAGAACAGCTCCGGTCACTGAGAACAGGCCACACTGAGGTTACTCACCTGGTACGTATTGTAATAGCAGATGATACTTTTGTTTTTAGAAAGTCCTAGTTTACTGCCCTGATCTGTGGCAAGGGCAAAGGTGGACAGAAAGCCAGGTCGCAGTGCATGTTCTGGAGCATTATCATTGGCAACTGGAAGAAAACAAGAAAATTCTTATTTTTACATGGTATCTATGACTGCATCACAACTCTTTACGCAGCTTAGCACTCTGTCAAAAGCCCATCTGGCGTTGGGGAACACGTAACACATCTTATGGGCTTCCGCAACGAGTACAGAACAATCTTCATGAAGAGTACATAATTTAATATTCTGTACATGATCAATGCTCGTTATACCAGCATCCTCCCTAGCATGCCTAAGAAACAGTCTTTTCCTTTACGATGCACAGCCTGTGCTGATGTCACTTTGGTTCTGCGTCCCTGCCTGTTTGCACTGATTCCAGCCTTCGAACTGATTACCGGCACAGTCACTTGAATGAAAACAGGTGAAGATGTGCAAGTTCTGCTAGGTGTTTAAATACTTTCGGACGTTAAAAAAAAAACAAACAAAAAACCCCCTGCAGTACTTGAATCAGTACTCCTCAGTACTCTTAAACTAGTTCACCCACAACATAAAACATCTTAAAGACTGCAGAGATATGATATAAATTACGGTACCAAAAAGCAAACAAAATTAAACAGCGCGTGTAAAAGTTGGATGCAATTGCTTGTGAGCACAGATCAGCCAAGTCAACAAAATACCAATAAACTCTCAAGTACTTTGTATCAGCCTGCGAGCGACTCGAAGATACAAGCACCTTACGCCACTCCAACCCTGTTCACTGAGGAAAAGTTCTGTGGGTTACACTTATTGAAGACGTTGTTTATACATGAACACAAGGATAAATTTAAAGAGGTACGTAACCAACTCTTAAAGTAAAAGTCTAATTTAATTATTCAATTTTGGATATTCATGTATTGGGCACAACCAGCAAAGATTCTGCTGTACTTTTCCACCCCCTGCTGTTCGATCAGGATTTTGGTTGCAAGGCACAGCGAGAAGCTGAAGTTACCTTTGATAACAGGCACACCATCTCTGTCTGAGACTACAATAGCATGAAGTCCTTCAACGCTGCAAAAAAATGGCAGAAAGGACACCATTTTAAAAACAGAGC